GTACAGAAGTATAGTATTTGACTTGGAAAACAAAAATACTGACGGATGATTGACGAGAAACTGACAAGAACTCCGCAAGCGGCCAAAATTAAGCTAAATTGGAACATAACGTTCAATGGTTTTGTTCCTTCTAACAGCAAGTGCTGTTGCTGCAATAATTATCGAAGCTGTTTAACTTCAGTGGACATCATGGGTGCCAGCTCACCCGCTGGAGTCAAGTCCATGTTTGGGCTTCAATCTTGGTCTGATCCCCATAATCTGGCTTGTTCAGCGGAATTAACGTCTAAAAGTAAATAACCCGTACACAGCGCTTCATATTTAAAGTGTATATAACGGTAACATATCTGAAATTCAGACGTCTGGATGTACCAGTGGCGACTGACATTAAGGGGAAACTCGAACGCCAGTAACTATTGCGTACACATTTTTCACCAGTCAGAGCTCAGCTTTCTTCTTGACTGAACAACGGCCCGTCTCTTGACTAATCATGGTCGAATTAAGCAGTCGCAGTACCCAGCCGTAAACCGCAAGGCGTTTCCTGTGTGCGATTCATCCTGCTACGAACATCCCCCTTTCTTGGTGCGCGATACTCTATCTCGGGCTGAGCGCAGTTTGGTTAGACGGTCGATTAGAGGACTGTTTGCACGTGATCCGTGTTTGAATGGGGAGAAGATTAGTAGAGAATGGAAGATACCAGTGCGACTGGTAAAGCATGACTCATCCTCAATACACTGTCTAGACAATATTCTATAATTGAATTTATCGAAAATGATCGGGAAAGCCTCACCTATGGTAAAGAAAAGCGTGTAGATTAGTGGACGATATATTCGAACATCGGTTTAGGTAGCTCTCTGCCCCTGTACCTTTCATTGGACATTCTCTGGTCTATGGTCTGTGAGTTCAGGCCCTGAAAAGCTTTTTAGTTTATAATATTCCTTTGTGCCTTGAAGCGCCACTGGGCTGCTATTAGTCACTGGATAACTTGCCTCCTAAATTATTAATTGGAAAGATGCCCCTGACGTTTGCGAACGTCAACTGGTTTAAGTTGCATAGGAAACCGTCCCGAAACCTGCTCATAATAAGTGGAGTTCGTTGGTGCTGCCCCCCCCTATCCCCTGTTTTTTATTTTGTCATTGACGTTATCAGGAGTGTATGTTTCAACGAACAATGAATCTACGGAAATCACGTCTGGAGAGAGATTGGTGTACATGGATAATATGGACGACGTTTTGTTACCGGACGACGACTTGTCCACACAAAGTCCTCTAAACAGGATATCGTAGGTGCACCCATGTTCCGTGAGCTCGATACAGCTCAGTGACTAAAGCACGGAGCTACTAACCGGAGGGTCCGTGGTTGGACTACAACCCTGACTTTTCGATTGTTCTTTTCCAACATGTTAGTATATCTGCCTGTTGTTTTCGAGATGCCTGATACCTGTGAAACCCACGCATCTCCAGTGCGTTTTGCACATTTAGAGTACAATATCTTACTTCGGAATTTATTGTCCTCATGTGCCTGTTTGAAACTTCAAGATGATGATCTTGAATTGGTTGATCGGTCCTTGTATCTTTCGGACGGACATGCACCATGACCGCACCATAAAATGGGTGGGCCACCAAGGCTCCAGGAGCGTTCACCAGCTTGCATCGTTGGTGGCATCAGCAGCGAAGTTCTTGAGCGCCTTCAGATGTTCGGTCACCGGTGTTTGCGCATCATCACAGACTTGTTTAGGTTGCTGAAACTAGTATTCAACCAAGTAGTGGATGAGCCTGAGGTGGCTTACTGGTCAAGATGCGAACTTAATAGCTGAAAGGTCCGAACTCACCCATAACCTCTTGACTGCTCCTGCCTAGGCTTGGGCAAACTGGCAATATCATAGCCCTCGTGGTTCCTTCAGGTAGCCTGGTAGCTAGGCACCCAAAGGTTGTTACTGCTGGACGTCTGTTATTACTGTTAACATTAAGCGATGCATAAGTGGGGACTTAATAACAAACTAGAATCGCCGAAACAACAGAATGAACTTATCAGGTTAACGTAGTCGAAGCACGTAGTGCGCATCATCTACTCAGGAAAGGCTTTTTCCACCCCAAGCAGTTGTTGGTGCGCCTGCTGAATTTCCCAACCTGCTTACGCTCCTCAGAGCTTATGTCGGATGTGGTTCGCAAAGAACCCTGGGTTTATCCCGCTGATGTTGCCTTACATTGGTTCGAATCAGACTTTTATCCCTCGAATTCCCCTGTCTAGACTTGGGCAACCTGGCAGTATTCCAGCCCTCGTGCTTCTCTTGGGTGGCATGGCAGCAATGCACCGGCAGGGTGTTGCAGCTGGACGATTTTTTCGCCTTACCTGATACCCGAATAAAAACTCAATTAATTAGTTGTTCAGCTCTACCACCATTTCGGCGCATAGCTGCCATGTTACCCGAATGAAGCACGAGAGTTGAAGTAATGCAAGACTGCTCTAGCCTAGACGAGGCCAGTCGAGATGCATAGGTTGGGTTCGAACCATCAACTTTCCAGTTACTAAGCTGGTGCCCTAACTACTGAGTTCTCTCGATCTCAGATCTTGAATACCGTCGCTTTGGGGTGCATAGATCACGCCGCGGTTGTATCCAAACTTTCATGAAACCCCCCGGTAAACCTCAGAAGTGAACTGCCTGTCTAGCATTGGAAAGGCTTTTGTGGGCCACAATTTGGAGAAACGTACCACAGCCTGCTATGCACTGCGTTACAAACGGCTTCTTCTTCATTCTCCTCAGCGACAGCATGACGTCTGTGTCCAATACTGATGCTTCGCGTACAGCCTTCTTGTGGAGAAAAGAATAGACAGTGATGGGGATAAGACTTAGTGCTAGTCCAACTCGGTAATTCCAAGATGTCTACACTTCCAGCCATTTATTTTAATAATACGGATAGAAATTGACAACGTGAATACCAATGACATCAAGTAGCTGATTCCGTTATGCGGGGCGCTCCATTCTTTCGGGATCAGAGTATCATCCGACTAGGCTCTCGATTAGACGACAGCCCAGTCGTAACCTTTTGTAGATGGAGGCGTGATGGGACCAGGAAGTTTAAGAAATGGAAGTGGCAAGTGCCGCTGGGAATTCACAGAAGCTGTTCTAGCTGATCCGCAAAGCACAACCGTTGATTACTTTGGTTGGCAGCTTTTCACCCATGGCTACACGGAATGAAAGGATTTTTTGTGCAGGTTATACGACGAATTAGTTAGGCAACCCAGCTTCGTGGATTGGGTTTTGGAACGGACCTCATTCTGTTTTTTATTAGCACCTTCAGAGTACTGTATCGTACACTTGTTATTCAGTCTTCTCGTGTAGGCTAGAGCATAGCAGGTTTAAGCTGGCGGAATCGAGTCCGCAACGAAGTGGTAAGTGGCCATTTTAAAGTGGATGCTATTCGTTACAGCAGCAGATTAAACTTACTAGCTTGAGGGGTTGGGTAACGTCCTACAAGCACCAACACACGAAAACCTTGCTTTTTGCTTGTTGGCGGAAGGTTCGTTGGGTACGCCTGGATATTACAACTTGAATGAAAACGGCTACTGTCAACCAGTGTTGTGGGTTCTCCAGCCTTCTTGACTGGGATCCACATGATCCTGCTTGTATGTGTTTGGAAGTCCTGCAGGACATAGCACGCAACCGACCCAAGTGGCACGCATGTAATCATTTCTTCGGTTACTGTCTAGCGGGAGTTCGCCCGGGCTTATGTCAGGTGGGGTTCGCAAAGGACGCTGGTTTGATTCCGCTGATGGCCAGATGCGTTTATTTTAATGTTTCTCAAAGGTGTAGGTACCTCATCCGTGCTAGTTTTCCTTAGGGGCATAGGGTTTCTTCCATTTCCCATTTTTCTTCTGTTCTTCACTTAGGTCGTCTACGCTCCTGCGTGTATGACAGTTAAGCATAAGTATGTATTACTGGCGTATTACCGTCAAGGTGCCGATGGCTCGACTGTTCCGAATTGCATGAACTTCCTGACCCATACATTGTAGGAACCGAACAGCTCAATTACTTTAACTACAATTTTGACCTGATAACATACACCCCAGCGTCATTATCTTCACCTGTTTACGGTTTTGAATGTAAGGTAGATTTTACTTCTGTGGGTTGATAGGAGTACCAACGTCTGACGATCAAGAGAGCCACGTTTTTCAGTAGTGGTTGATCTAGGTAGTGCACAGTTGAGTGCTACAATACATTTAGACTTTTTTCAAACATATCACACTCAACAAGCCGATTTCCTGTCAGCTAATTTTGTGCTAGTTCTGACAGTACAACCCAGGTGCCTCCAGAAAGTTGTTAAGATTTTTAAATTAAGGTCACATCATACTGAGGGCTAGTCTGAACCACATTGTTTTTTGTCCTTCAGGCTGCGTGGTTGCTTCAACTAGCCGACGGTTCAGCCACCTATATCTGGTCAACGTGTAGTGTTCACATCTGATCACTACGCAATGTCCTCAAGCTTGCAAAGTGAGTCCACGGCTCGCTCGGATACGGCTATTGATTCTTACTTCAGTTGCCTATACACTCTGAGGGAAAAAGTCGTGGTATGGCAGTCTCCGTCAGACCTTTTTTATGTTACATTGTAGGCCCTGGTTCAACACTATCACACTATTATATTACAAAAAATGGATTGTGACGTGGGGAAGTAAGTTGCAGTTGTATTTTTGTCAGCCATCATTCAAGTGCTCCACACATATCTGGTCACGCAGACCAAACTTCCACTTTTCGGATCTAGGAGTCGATAATCCAGACAGCAGCACTGTTCTCAAAACCAGTGTGTAATACCTTGTTTGCATATTCGAATCTACTTTCCTTCCTCTTCTGCCGTTAGTCTATCCATTCTCTGTTCTAACACATCATTTTCCCCATTCAATGAGGCATCTAGCTGTATTCGAGCGAGATAGCGCACCTGAAATACCGAACTTGTTCTTTCCCTCCTTTTCCTAGTTTGGTTACTTGCAGTACTGAGGCGTTTCAGAACCAACTGGCCGATGTTTTCACTCAGCTCAATGAAACGGAGCTCCAGCTCAGCGGTCTTGAGGCATGGGCTGGCTTGCCCCCGGAGTGTTTCTCTTCGGTTCCTTCCAATTCATCCGGTGCGACGTTCGACTCAGATCAGATTTCTTTTGAAGCGCAAACGTTGGTTGAACTGGTTCGCAGGCTACAGGTTGGTCTGCGTTCAATGGTATCCAAGAACTTTGTTACACCGCAGACAAATCCAACTGATGTGACAATGGATGAATCCTATGGACAGACAACATCCACCTTTGTCCAAGGCCAGGCAAAACAACGATCGACGACGAAGGCTCAAAATAGCCGTATAGATCCTCAGCCTACGTCAAGCACAGTTCCTTCCGTCATCGGTGGTCAAATCCCCAGCCAACAAGGATACACTACTATTTCCCCACAATTAGCCGATACTGTTTCCTATCCGATCAGTGAGGAAGGCAGTACCGTAGCACAGCATGGTAGTCGTTTAGCATATCAGTCACCCACTCCTCACTTCAATATTTCGGCGTCGACTCGCTCGCCAATGACAGACCGTCGTCAACCAGAAGGTACAGAGCACTACTCGGGGATTCCCAATCCGAATCGTTCAGCTCCAATGGCGCCACATTCTTCCACTGCACCTAGTCCGTTTGGGCAACAGACTGTCTGCCCTTATACCACCGGTGGCCAGTCGGGATATTCGGATATGCTTTCCCAACCTCATTCCAATCGGTTGACCGGTTCGGGTTATCCGGAACCTGGTAATAATATGCAGTCTACCTTCAGACCTGAGTACCAAAACCGCTAGATGTGGTCTCCAGTTTGTCCTGTCTGATCAGTTGGTTGTACACTATTTGTATAATTGCAGATCTGTTCCATATGATCCTCGTTTTATTCTATGCATAATCCGTAGATTGCTTGCATGTGCAGTATCAGATGTTGGCCCGCCGGTTAGGAAGTATGCGGTTCCATCGTCATATTGCATGCCAAAGTGTCACTATGATATTTCTCTGGGCAAACCTTATCAACCCGTCCAGCAGCAACACCGAATCAGTATTGATTTGCTATCACGCGTTGCACATCTATCAACGGTTAATTCATGGGGGTAAATGCTAACGATGTACAATTGCTGAAGGACTTTTTCTGGGAGCATGATGAGGCCTTCCCTTTAAGGAGTTCAAGTCACCTAGATTTAGGTGTTATGTGTGATGTGGGCTGTTCAATGCATGGCGATCCTCACCTTGGTTTTTGGTTTGTTCCCTACATCTTTTTGGCTTCTGTGCGCGTCCAATATATAGGATCCACAGTAAGTGCTATTGGCTGAAACAGTTGAGCTCGAAATGTCTCAGTGCTTAAGGTGCAGACTTACTGATAGGAAGGTCGGTGGTTCGAACCTAGTCTCTGCATCTTGACTCATCCCATCTAGGCTTGGGTAGCCCGGCAGTATCTCGGCTTCGTGCTTCGGGTGGCATGGCAGCTAGGCTTCGAGAGTTTTCGGGAAATTACCTAGTCCCCAGTAGCACCACCACAGTGTACATCTGTAGTGTTCGCTCGGGGCCTAGCTACAACGCCACCCCTTAGGAAATTCGAAGGTTAAAACATCCACGGATGGCCTGAGTAAAGACGAAAATAATTCGGAAACCAAAAAACCGCTACAATAGGCTTTTCTGATTTTTTGTGAAGTCCTAGAATGTCAGGTAAAGTTAATAGCGTGAGGATTCGTCACCAGTTAGTGACAACGCATTGGAGTACCTTGACTGGCTGCGGATGGGTAAGCCGGGCCCGTGGATACGAATCACGTTTGATGTACGCAGATTGTGAACTGGATGAAAAAGGTGTTCTGTCCTTTAATACAAGGTTAACCACAGATGGAGCTTGTAGGATGCATTGATCTAACCTCTGCGGGTTTGTTGGCTTTCGTTAAATGCACACTAACGATTTCAAACGAGAAGTCAACTCTTGGTGGTTGAGCGAAAATTGAACCGGTTCCAGCTCACACTGTCAAATCGAGAGGTATCACCACCCAATCTTTAGTGGCTTTGTATGATTCACGACCCAATTTTGGTTATCGATCTTTTGTTTAGACAGTTGAGTTTACTATCTGGGCTCATTAACCTCCTAATAAAAACTAGTAACAGCATTTCGACTGCGTGCAGGCGTGATCTGTTGGTTCATACTTCGTATGGGATCTCTGCCTAATAAAGACTATCTGAATTATTTTTGAATGCACACGAATGACGAATGGTTTGCAGGTCAATGTTTAGTTATATTGTTTAACACCTATCCATGGTAGAAAGACCGCAGTCTTTTTAATTTATTATTGGTGCGTTTTAAATTGCCCACTGAACTTTCAAAAATGAAATCACATTATTTCCTCGCTTTGTTTGTTACAAATCAATTTCCTTGTTGGTGCAGGGTCATTCGTACCGTTTATGGCTACCATCTTCAGCAAATTCGATCGATTTGTGGCCAGGCTCTGCGACTGGGTGCCTCGTTAACCTAGATGCATACAGTGAAGTCTGTTTTTCTAGGTCTCTCTGGCTTAGCTTGGTTACGACAGCCAATTATTGTGTCAGCCAACTGTGCAAGATCATTTCTGACAGTCTCTCACTCCAACTACGGGCAGAGATACAAGATTTCTAAACTCTGATCTGCAGCAAACTGAAGAATTAGAGAAGCCACGTACTCTTTCTGGTAAGCTTACTGAACCTGTCCACCACCGAGCGTGAACTTGGCATGTCAACTCACACTGGAGACCTTCCTAGTCATTGTGCATGGCCACTTTTCATCGATGCAGTCATTCTGAAAGTACATCGTCAAGGCGCTTGAACGGATCCGCGATGCCTTCTGTCATTCGTACTTTTTTACTGTGACGACGGCGGTGTTAAAATACTTTGGTGGTTCGTCTTGCATAAAATCTTTGCCCTAAATTTTGTCAGCTAGCAAGACGCCAATCCATTACATGCAGTTGCTTCATCCAAAACGTGACAACTATTCATATGCTAAAAAGTGGTCAATTGGTCCTTAAAGGCCATCTGTTCTCCGAATAGATTGAGAACACTAGATGTAGAGTTTGAAGCAGCCTGTTTGCAGCCGTCTCCCTCTTTTGCAAAGAAATCTAGCTACTTACAAATAAAATCAGTAGTTACTGAGCTGTTGGTGTGATGCATGGCACGATGAACTATCAACGAATCGCGTCAAACGGATGCTTGTTTGAAAATAACGATGGAGCGAAGCTACCCGTTGTTTAATGTAGCATATGTGTGTGCTGTATATAGCTGTGATCCATTTTTTTCTTTGGTGAGAAGTGCACTCCCCATATCATTCCGGAAGAAAGTCCGCGAGGTTGCTGCATTACTGTAACTGAACGAATCACTCACTACCACGCAGATTGATGTGCAGCACGGTTCATTTGAGGTTCGAATGAATACCATTTGTTCTTTCCTTCAAATAAACATGCAGTGCAAAAGTTGCTCCAGTTTCTTTTGAGCCGACACTCGATGTACGGAAGTGTTCTGCCACCTATGCAGTGTTACACATGGTCTATCTCTTGGTGGGTATGCGTAACCTACAGGCTTTCATTAGGTAGAAACTTTCGAACATCTACCATATGCTGTTGGAGCAAATAATCATTTTTTGGTTGACTAGTGAAAGGTTGTTTTGAAGGGGTAACACCAATAGGCCCTTGAACTCAGACAAGCAACCCCACACAAGTCTTAGGGGTCCCGAACCCGTAGCACTGCTATAGATTGGATCGTTATACAATGTAAACCACTGACCAGTCAACACAAAATATATCAATTGCCTGTACGATCTATCCTCGGTGTGTCCATGTTTATCTGCATGGGTGGGTTATATGGTGGGGCACGTGTCGGACGTACTACGTACGACGGAAATGGACTCTAAGTGTTTATTGTGCTTGACTATCAGGATTAGTTTTATGTCATGGGACAATTTCTCGCTACAGATCCTTTCTCGAATGCTTTCTGGATCGCGTTTGGCCTCACCACTCACCAGACCAACTGGACTATTTTTGGCTGAATCACCTTTGGTTCGTGCATTGAGGACTGTCCCTCTCAAAGGCCGTAGGTTGTGGGAGCGATATGATGTGAATCCAGAGCACTCCGGAACACACACGGTATATCGAGATACCCGACCAGCAGTTGAGGACCAAGATGCGCAGATCTCCCGTAGGCCCAATTCCGTTGTGAGTGGTTCTGGTGGAGGAGCTCCATATGTGAAGCCCTATCTACAGCCGAAACCAGTGGACCTCCGCTACAATCCTCGGCTGTACGATGGTGGCTTGTTACCCCGTCTGGAACATACCGATGAACCGGTCCGTTTGCCAGAATACCGGCCTAGGGATCTATGGGCCCCACACCGAGCACATTTCGGTCAGAATGATTATATTGGTGAGTTTCTATATGTAGCTGCTGTTTTACCCCCATGATGTGTACTTACGATCTCTGAACGCAGCTGTAGATAAATTGGATTCAAATATAGCAATAAAATAGACAGCTGCAACCATGCTGGAATTCGGAACAGTGGCAAATCAAACACCAGGTTAGATTTAAAGAGCGGTCGGTGTTTTCGGCCATCAAGGAGAGGAAATCAGTTGCCTTCCAGGGTGGGGACCGCGTGATCCTCACTGTGCCTGGTTGGAGACACTACAAGATATGGCTGCCAGCCGATGTCATTGGCGTTCTTGTTGTCAGTTTCTGTCCAGATTGCCAGAGTGAATGTCTGGAGGTGTGGGCACCTCGGAATGATTGTGGTAAACTAGCATTTCCTTGCTTCCTCATCCACCTTTATTCTTTTCTTCACAATAAGGCTTTCAAATAAGTCATGGTTGTACGGCAGTGAAGCATCGGTGTTGAACACTGATGTCATGCTGTCGATGATGATGATGATGATGTTAAGAATCAACATGTCTTCAAGAACGAAACCGACACCGTTTCTCATCTACCGAGTTGTGACCTTCTGTTCTGGTTGGGAAGTTCCTATGCGTTTCCCCTTGAGCACTTTCAATCGAAAATTTTTAACGGTCGTGCCTCCTGGAAATACCTTATTCCAATGAACAGCAGGCTTCGATAATTGACTGTCTTTTCCTCCAATGAGGAACCGTGAACTATTTTGCTAGGAAAATATACATCTGACCGCGCCATCGTGAATTAAGTGGGGAAGATATTGTGCATTCGACTACATGGTTTGATGGGAGTTACAGACGTTTTTGATCGCAGTAGGTGAACCTTTCAGACGTTCACTTACTTTTTTCAGTCCACTGTTTCTATAGTGAATTCTTGAGCTCTATTCTGCACCACAAGGAGAGATCATTGAGGGTGCCAGCGAATAGTTAGTGTGTTTCGAAGAACTTGTTTAATTCCTCCTAGGAGATTTCGGCAATCAAGGTCAACGGTTAATCTGAATTTTCTTTTTCTGGAGTGAATTTATGAACCATTTTTGTTCATTGATTTTCCATCCAAGGGAATTGGTTCTATCTTGGTTCCAAGCCAAAAGCGGCGAGAACAGTTCCGCTGAGCTAAACGCCTGACTTTTTGGAATCCAGCGTCCTGATGGTGCAGTTCAGCCATTGCATACAGGTTCATTGCTATCTTGCATTGAAGTTAGCAACTAAACCATCCTGAACTTTGAGACGGGTGGACACATTTGTCGCAGAAATGAATTCGCTTTCTCTCAGTTCTTATTTTGTACCTTAGGGTCAACAAACGACCCAACTCTGGGGTAGTGGTAACAGGAAGTTTTCGTTCCAACAGTTTGCAGTACTGGATTCCCTTGATTCATTTCCTCAAGAAGGACCAAAACATGTATTTCACGTAATTTCATCAGTCGCACTCGTAAGACCTGTAGGATTATATGCGACACCAGTGGTGTCATCTCACACAGGAGCGAAAAAAGATATGGGTCGCGTCGGTTGTAATCAAACTGAATGAACGAGAATATTATTCTAGTGAACAGCGCTTCCTCAAACGCCAAGGTTAGTGGATTGCAATCTCAAAACAATATTGGTAATGCCATCTTGGATTCAATCACGTGGCCTGTTTTCGGTGGACCTCTCGACACATTCTGCGGTGGCTGGAAAAATTAATAGCACGAGAGAACCAATACTTAATACTCCTTGATGGTGATAATTAAGCGGTTGGTCGCAATGCCTCATATAAGTGACCTCAAGACAGCCTTCAAAAAACTGCTCTGAGACCGCAATCTAATGACCTTAGTTCTATTTGCGGAAGCTCTGTCCACCAGAATACAGCAACAGGCAGTATGCGCAAAATAGTTTCATACCCAGTCGGTTCGATTACCCTTGAAGTAGTTAGTGATAAGTCTTCCTTACCATTTTGTGACATGTGGTGCTCGCTGTTGTGCCTTTATGCCATCCTTGCATGCTATGTTGGTTGTTTTGTGTGTACAACCGATTAAAGTTAGTGAACTACTAACAGCTCGTACTAATTGTCCACGCTTCATACTGATGACTTTGATCAAGGTGACACAGTGATCCTGTGAACAGTGGTTAGATCTACAAATGCTGCACAAACTTCTCGCGTGTAAGCCGTTTGAACGATCAGTTAACTAATTGAATGGATTTATCAATCCTAATGGCTTAGTGAATACATTTTGCTAGCCTCAGGCATGGTGTCTGCGTAACACTGGTTAGTCTGTTTGGGGAGGGCATACAGCACCGCAGTGTGCGCGTTCCATTTTGTGGATCGGAAACCGCATCTAACTATAGATACTTACTAGCTACTATCTGGATCTGTTGGAGATGTCTGACCACCAATAGTGTGGAATGTTGGTTTCAGAGCAGGACTAGAATCGCCCCTGATATACAAGCTAATCATAGTTTACAAACTACTTAGACCAGTTGACGTCATTCTTATGTCCGAACACCATCTGCATTTCATTCAGGCATACACCAGATGGAAACGACCCAAAGGCGGTCGAACAATGATCTGGTGCCAGAAAATGAATGGAACCTGTAAACTTCGCCACCCTCGCAACTGTCGGCTTTCCAGTTGGTAACTTTAGTAAAGTAGATATGAGGGAGTAGAGGTCCGGACATCCGTAATCGGTGTTCTTTTTTGTATAAGCATTATCTCATGGCATTGCTCTTCCTTTCGTACTCTAATCAAGTATTTCATTCGGCGTTATCCGTACCTAGATTGTTACAAGCGTAGCCACTCCCACTACCGTCGACGGATAAAACCGGCTTATCTCTTTCGAGTTGCATGACACCGACAGAGTGCCACTACTGAGCGATTTTATTTGTGACCAGGAACATTGTGCCTTGATACCTCGTTTATAAACGACTAACTCAACTATTCTGCCCCCGATTTCGTTTGACATTCGTTTCAGACATTCTGGGTGATGGAAAACTAACCTTCCGCGATTTTTACACCGGTCCTCCCTGGTCATTTGGCACCAGAAACGAATTTCAGCGTGTGAGTGCGCGAATGAACAATCCTGCCCTCGTAGCCTGGTTGGAGGAGTTCGAGCCATCTCGTTTGAAGTTAGAACAGAAAAGAAGAGATTACTTGTACAAGAAAGTGAACAAGAGGAAAAATATTAAGTTTTATCGATACCGTGATGCCCCATGAAAATACACCATTGTTTCCCACTCACTACGCTTGTACAGATTTTTTTAAATTGTCAAACCTCTAGTGAATCTGTTCCTAGTTTAACAAGTATGTTTTCTTCCACTTCCCGGAAATTAGATTTTACGAGCCGGTAGTCATCCAACACCCAATCCGTGGGATTAATTTCTCTTCCCTGCCGTAAAAACAATCAATTGTAGGGAGGCTGGTACAAATGACCCGTATACCCTGGAAGTTCAGCTTGGGACCCAAACTTTGTGCTCAAAATTTCCTATCACACATGATTGTAACCTCATCGTTTAATAGACACGGCTAGAGAACAGTGTTCTTGTTTGAAAAGGGTACGTGATCGGAACATTTCTGTGGGATTTTTTTCTAAAAACGGGTTTCCCGCCCAAATTTAGCTAATCACGGGTGTTTGTGGTCGAATTTTTTTTTAACCGAAAGTTTTGACAGCGGGCTGTTCGGTACTAGTTCTGGATGCCCTAACAAGTCCCATCACCACACTACCCCGTTAGCGCTTGCAGTTGGGTATCTTTGGCACCAGTATATTGCTGTCGACGTCCAAATATTGCTTATTTTCAGGCTGGTGGTAAACTTCGGTGGCGGGTGTAATATTTGAGGCGGCAGATGAGCAGAATAGAGGCCTTGCACTTCTGGAAGCAGCGCCGTCTGTCCAAAAGATTTGTGTTCCCACCTTTGGACAAAAAACCTGTCTTGACTGCATACGGCTTGCGACTGTGTAATCACACTTGAGAAGTGTGGTTAGTCACCGCGACTTTCGATCCAAGTCCAGGAATGATTTCACCAGCTATTCCTGGTCCCGATAACTGGGCCGGTTGTTTGCAACTGTCTGAAATTCGATCACGTCCCATGGCTTACATACTGGCACTGTTCGGTTCGGAACAAGGGCAGTTTGTTGCTATTCTCTTGGCGGAAGTCACATGCCGGATGAAACCTGAGTAAAATATTTTTGCTTCCTCTTTGTGTCAGCTTTTTTAGTTTAGCATATCTTCACTGCCTTCGAACTGCTGTCCAAATATCGGCCTTGCCACTGCAAAAAATAAGGTAGCAGTGTATTGGTAATGCACTACTCATAAGGTTGCTGAAAACCCTTCTCTCGCAAAACCAAATTTGTTTGCAAATGAGTGTGTTTCGCTAAGGTAGCAGTGTGTTAATTGGGCAAACCAAGTTGTGGTGACAATAAGAACTCCGATTTCTTTTGTGGAGCTACACCATCATTTGTTGCATTTAGACTCTCCACGCGCTAATTGTTGAGGTATTGAAATTATTAGCGGTGGCTTGATGTGCATCGAAACGCCTGGGAGATTTACAGGCGATGCAGAAAGCCCATGGGCCTCACATGTTCCCTGGTCTTTGATACTGGTTATAGTGAGCCGATCTTCTACTAACGTGATCCCTTTGGGATTTCGCCTTGGTTAGAAGATACTCCTTACGCATTGACGCAATACTTTTTAGCAGTCCACACCAAACACGTGTGTGTGTCGGAGCTCGAGATAGCTCAGTGTTTAGGACGCAAAATCAGTGGTGGTTCGAACCCAAACTCTGCATCCCGACTGGTGCTGTCTAGGCTTGGGCGACCTGGCAGTATCTCAGCTTTTGTGTTTCCTTCGGGTGGCATGGGATCCATGCACCGATAGGGTGTTACAGCTGGACAGTTATTGCTATTATTGTTTATTAAACGTGAGCTTCGTTGTTATTAGAACTCGTCAGTAGTGCATAACTTTGGTCGTACTGAGGCTTGAATATGGTCATGTTACAAACTGAGTGTATTATCACTACCCCGCCAGCGCACCCTGGACCCCCCCGAAGACCGGACGAATGTTTCATACTTGAGCGATGTGACTGACTGGTTTGCTGAACACCTAAAACAGCGACCCAGTAACTGTCCTGGCTGTATCGATGAATGGGCTTATCTGTCAAGACTTCAACCCTATCGGATAATTTAGATTGACTGTGGTTGAATCCGGGATTTGTATGTTTTCGCACGGCTTTTGTCCGGCCAGAATTTATATATATATATATATAATATATATATATATATATATATATAC